TGCCTGCCTGTCTGTCTGTCTGTCTGTCTATCTATCTATCTACCTATCTATCTATCTATCTATCTATCTTTCTATCTTTCTATCTTTCTATCTTTCTATCTTTCTATCTTTCTATCTTTCTATCTCTCTCTCTCTCTCTCTCTCTCTATCTATCTATCTATCTATCAATCTATCAGCTGTGGTGGTGCAGTGGTTAGAATGCAGTACTGCAGGCTACTTCTGCTCATCATTGGTTGACAGCAGTTTGGCAGTTCGGGTCTCACTGGCTCAAGGTTGACTCAACCTTCCATTCTTCCAAGGTCAGTAAAATGGGGACCCAGACTGATGGGGAAAATATACTGACTCTGTAAACTGCTTAGAGAGAGCTGTAAAGCACTGTGAAGTGGTATATAAGTCTAAGTGCTATTGCTACTGTGTTTCCTCAAAAATATGACCTACTCTGAAAGTAAGTCCTAGCTTGATTTTTATATGTGCACCCAATATAAGCCCTACCCCCCCAAAAAATAATTAAGACCCCGCCCACTCCAGATCAATCCGTAACTCTGTTATGGGCTACAGAGGCCTTTTCTAAAGGCCTTTCCTGAAAGCCACTGTAGCCGATAACAGAGCTCCGGATCGAGCTCTGTTATCAGCTGCAGAGACCTTCAGGAAAGCTTTTTGACCAAAGAAGTTCCTGAAGGCCTCTGACAGCGAAAAAGAGGCCCAGGGCGATGGGCACAAGTGGTGATTCAGTGGACGACATCCCCCCACAAAAATAATAATACCTGGTGCCTTTTTTGGTGGAAAAAACCTATATGACAGGGTCTTATTTTCGGGAAAACACAGGTATATGTATATCACACTGGTTCAAAGTTGACTCATCCTTCTATCCTTCCGCGGTCGGTAAAATGAGGACCCAAATTCTTGGGGGAAATATGCTGACTCTGTAAACCGCTTAGAGTACTGTAAAGCAGTATATAAGTCTAAGTGCTGCTGCTATTCTGAAGAATTCCCTTCTCTAATTTGGCATCATTCACAATCTTGGCTCCTAAATTCCCTCGCCAATGTAATTAATGTAGCATGAGCACAACTCATATGCTATATTCTAATCAGTATTAAAATGGTTCTGCTTGAGCATCTCTGGATATGTCACATCATATTCAACCCTCGAAAACCTGTTTCATGCTGCACCACAAATCTCTGCATTGCCAGACATGAGATAACCAGTGCTACTTTTGCTGACCAGCGGTACATAATCATCCAATTATTGCCTTTTTTTCTCAGTCATTATCCCTGTGTGTTTGCATATGTAGGTTTTAATGACTAGAGCTGATCTTCTGCTAAATAAGCCCATTAACGTGAACACAAAAACTCAGCCTAGCTTAAATAAATGTCACCTTCCTGATATTGGACACATAATTCAGGAGCTAAAATATTAACCTATTCGATCTGGACTTGTTTTGTTATGGTTGCATTTGGAGGTGACATCCACAGAATTATTAACATGGCTCTGGATGAATCAATGTATGTTAAAGATCCATATGTTCTTCATTCCTGGGACTTGATCAAAATATGAAGAATTATGCATTGGGGGGGGGGAAGCATGGGAGTTGCCTAAAGGAATTATTATATAATACTGGAATGCAAAAATATGCAATACACAGACTTGCACCAATGGATAACAACAACAACCATATGGCACTGTTACATTAGCTAGGAGACTACGAGGCTACGATAAAGTTCAGAACAGTTGTGATAAAATGCCTTCAGAACAGCTTGCCTTCAGAAATCATGGGTGCTCCATCATTGGAGGTTTTTAAGAAGAGACTGGAAAATCACTTGTCTGAGATTGTATAGGTTCTCTTGCTTGACTAGAAGACCTCCAAGGCCCTATTCTATTCTATTCTATTCTATTCTATTCTTCCACTCTACTCTACTCTACTCTACTCCAGTAACAGTTTGACTGCCTGTTTACCAGCCGTGTCAGTTACACTCTTGCGCACTTCCCATGATGTGCCACGAGAGGGCGAGCTGGCTTTGCACCAGGGAGAAAGACAAGCAGCTCTTCCTGCTGTTTCATCCTAGGCCTCGTCCCTTCCCCAGAGCTGCCTCATAAACAGCCACCATGACTATTTGACTGCCTGTGCAGAGCACCAACTCATCTCCCCACCAAGTAGTACCTATTTACCTACTCGCACAGAACATGCTTTTGAACTGCAAGGTGGGCAGAAGTTGAGGGAAGTTACGGGAGCTCACCCCTCCCCCACCACCACGCAGTGCTAAGACTGGGACCACTGGATCAAAGACCGTCTCCAGTGTCATTAAGCTAATGAGCCACTGCGCATCACATGATTTTTTTTAAAAAAGTAATAATAACACTAAAGGAATAAAATGGTAAAAATATGTATGTTAGCCTTCCCCAACCACTGCCTTCCATATCTATTGGATAACAACTATCCTTTCTATCTGGAAAAGGACCAGGCAGGGGAACAGAAGGGTCAATTATCACTGTTCTGCTAAGCACAAGGAGGGGGTTAATGTTCCATTAAACTCAGTGGCCCGCAATACAAGACTTCCTATTCTTCTACCTGCTTCCATTTTGCCTGATTTGTCCCAGCAGAATATATACGACCCCTGTATCCATCCAGCATACAAATCTAGAAGCACACTATCATACACAATACTCTTCCCTTCCCCACCTCCGCCAGTAGACAGTTCAGGTGACAAATTGATATGAATTATTTCCCATGTCGTGCAGACTGAAAACTGAGATCTGCACATAAATACAGAGCCTCTTTCAGAAACAGCCCAGCATCAGAATAAATCTACTGTGGGAAGCCCACGCAGCTGATGTTTGCGATGTTCTGAGATTGAAGGCTTGTTTTTATTTTGGTTTGGTTTGGGAGCATTTTTTTCCCCCGGCGCTGGTCTGGTCTCTCCGTTTTGTGTTGGGAACAGATGAGTGGCGTCACGTACCAGCCATGGGACTTTCCAGAGAATCCAAGCTCCTGCGGCTGGCAAAAATCCCAAAAGGTTAGACCGGCTGTCTAGAGTCAGGCAGTCCAGAAAATGCAGGAAAGAACAAGCAGCAAGCTTTTTCGGTGTTCTCCCCCTTTAGTAAGAAAAAGTCAATTGCCTTTTGAGTAACAACAGAGGTTGTATTTGATTGGTCCAAAGATTGAGATTGACAATTTATGATGCATCAGAAACATGGGAGTGGAGGGGGGATAGCAATAGCGGTTAGACTTAAGTATCGCTTTACAGTGCTTTGCAGCCCTAGCTAAGCGGTTTAGAGAGTCAGCGTATTGCCCTCAACAATCTGAGTCCTCCTTTTACCCACCTCAGAAGGATGGAAGGCTGAGTCCACCTTGAGCCCGATGGGATTTGAATTGCCAAATTGCAGGCAGCCGGCAGTCAGTAGAAGTAGCCTGCAGTACTACACTCTAATCACTGCGCTACCAAGGCTCTGAGGAAGCCTCTCCCAAACTTTGTCATAATCCCTTTTAGCTTCCCAATGTGGTAGATTCCACCCTCAATTTCCTTAGAGTGCCGGTATTGGAAAAATCATTCTAGTGGGCAATTTTCCCCATCAAGGTCTGAATCTTACCTATGTACATCCACCAACTATCCCCTTCTCCGTTCTCTTTTAGTGGCATCCACAGCTTGCATCTCTAGAATGCGAGCACTCTGTCAGTGAAAATGGGCTCCCAAGCTCCATTTTTGCTGTGACAGCCTCTGCAACCCGCTGCCAGTGAAAACGGAGCTCGGGAGGGCCTTCGCTGTTTCCAGGGCAGCCCCGCGGGCCAGATCCAGCCTCCGGTCTTTGAGTGTGACACCCCTGGTCTAAAGGAATAATCATAGTGATTAATCATACCTTTTGTTTGTGATCATACATTTCAGAGTAGGGCTTATGCAGATTTCCATTCAGACTAAAAGCACTACAGAATTAGGCACTATTAATGACCTGCTTTTGCTCTGAAAATACATCTAGCACAACAGCCATTCATTTGGCATTCTTCTAATGGATTCCTTGTTTCCTCATATGCTATCAGAGTTTCAAAGCATACAATGGGGAGAGATAGTTTTAAGCAAGCCTAAAACTATAAGGGCTCCTATTATCCCAGGGCTGGATAATTGAACATAATGACTGATAGAGAAGTCAAGAATACATAAAGCCAGTAATTCATGGTAAGGTTAACAACCTATCCAAAGTCCATGCCAAAGAAGGGATGAAGCATCACACAAAATCAAGAGATCAACAGCAGATGCAGGACATGGTCCAAGAATCAAAAACCAAGATTTCACTAAACAGGTAACTCAAAAATTATAGGACTAGCATTTCTGGGCTGAAAAGTATCAGAATGTTTCTGAGTGGCCATCTGAATGTTTGCAGTCCAGAAATGGTAGCCCTATCAGAAGTAAGACGTTGGCTGAATTCATGTATCACACTAAGCCATAGTTTTAATCATGGTTTGTTGAATAAGCCTTATTAACTAGATTCACCCATAAAACTAAGCTACAGATCACAATTTATAAAGCAAAGCAGTTGGATTTAGTCATCCTATTAAGCCAAAATTAAAGAAACTATATTCTGATTTATGTGAATGAAGTTCAGTAATTTTACACAGTCTTAAGACCAGCATGCTTAGCTTCCTTCTCAGACCAAAATAATGATCTACCTGAGCAAGCAGTGTAGAGTTATCTCGTTGAAGGACCATGATACCACCAACCATCCCGATCAACATCACTATTTGTAGTAATTCATTCCTCCATGTCCTCTACCAAAGGACAACATCAGAAATGGTCCTTAAGTTCTCTTCATATTTAGAGAAATATATTCAGTAACAATGGCAATGCAGTGGCTCAGCAGTTAAGAGGTAAGGTGTTAGCTGAATTCTTGTATCATACTAATCCTGGCTTGCTGCCTTGAAAGACCGCAGCCCAGGTTTGAGACCCCAGCGCCATGTGACAGGGTGCGCTCCCATCCTCACCTCAGCTCCTGCTCACCTAGCAGTTCAAAAGCATGCAGATGTGAATAGATAAATAGGTACCATTACGGTTGGAAGGTAACAGCACTTTGTGATGTCATACTGCCACATGACTGCAGAAATCAAGGGCCTTGAAATGGCTCAAGGGCCTTGAAACGGAGATGCACACTGCTGCCTATAGTCGGCAGCAACTAGTGGAGTAAAATCCATAGGGGCTCCCTTATTCAGTAACAAAGAAACCTATTTCAGGTTCATTTTGCTGCAGAGGTTAGTTAGGCGCACAGTTAAGACCTGTGGACTGTTCAGGGTTAATCTTTCTTATTCTCTTGGCAGATTCCCAGCCATATTCCGATGAAGAAGGTTGCTCAGAGGTGTTCCTCCCAACTGACAGTGACTATGATTCCAGCGATGCTTTGAGTCCACGAGAACTGGATTTGGTTTATTCATCCTCCCAGGATATCTCCCATCAGGCCGTGAGTTGTTTGAGTGGTAGCGCCCCAGATGTCCTTCAAGTCCATGACATCAAACCCTGCTTGACTCCAAAACAAAACCCAAGAGGGAGCAGTGTCTTAGAGACAGAGGTTGATCAGTCTACAGAGAACATGCAGAGTCTGTCAATTGGAAGGCTCTCACCCAAAAACCCAGAAAAGAATTCCGGCTCAAAGCAATCTTTGAGTTTCCTAGGGAAGAAAAAACATGGGAAACATCAGCACTACAATTATTTCAGCCGACACCATCGCTGGCTCCGTGTACACAGCGAGACCCAGTCCATCTCTCTTTCTGAAGGCCTCTACACTCCCCATCTCACACAAGCCATGGACTACTCTCAAGAGCCCACGCCTGGTGAGCAGATCAGTATTTCTATTGATTGCCCCCGCAGTACTTTCTTACCTCATGCTTCAAGTCTCCCAGAAGAAGGGAAAAACAAATACCAGGAACTGAGGCCAAACATCCGCAGAATATATGTTGAGCCTTACAAGACCATATTATCCAGTGAAGGGAGCAAGCAGTCTGGAGATCATCCAGATTTGCACAGCCCGTTGGGTCAAGGCAGGATTGCAGAAGATCAGTCTTGTTCTAACATCCCCGAAGTGTTCAGCAGTGACCTGTAAGAGGTCACATTGCTCAGTAGCCCCTGCTCCTCTGCCCTGCCTTCAAACTACGATCACACTTACCACAAATGGAAGACTAGTTCTTCAAAACAAACTTTGCATTCAGAAGTCCCAGTTCAGGTCTCTACCAAATGGAGTGGCAGACTTTCGGCACGGTTTTCTAAGAAAAGACATAGGGAAAACTTTTGCATATATGCTTACTTGCACTTCTTCTAAAGTTCTAAAGTTAGGTGGCTGATTCTTGACTCTTTATTTGGTACTTAACAAGGCAGAAAGAAATGTTATCTTTTTCAAGTGAAAAAGAAATTTTCAGGAAACTTAAAATGTTTCACTACAGAATTTTCCCATCCTAAATAGTCAGCGTTGTCCCTCGCTTATTGAGTAGCATTCATGGCTCCAGGAGCTGATTTTTTTAAAAAAAAAAAAATCTTCAGCATCAGTGACTTTATTGTGTTTCACCATGCTGGGCAACGCAACATCAGTAAGGACAATTGTTCAGAAAATAATGTTGATTTTGAAGAATAACAAGAGTGGTGCAGTCAAAAAGGTCTCTGCAAACAAATTTGAGGAAGATTATCTGATTTTACTATTTTTCCTCCATTGTAACCTTCTGTGGGAACGATCACTGGGAAGGATCCCAAAGTTTTACTGGGAGACGGGGAAAAAAACCCCTCCCTGTTTTATTTTTTATTTTGTGGTTTTCATATCTACAAGAGTGTGAGCAGTTTTGCTCCTACAGCATTTTTCAGCTATACCATTTGAATTGATGTCTTTCAGGATATAGCTACCCTAAATCATTAAATCAGAGCACTTTTCATCTTCAAGGTCATTTTTGCACATTATTGGTTGGTAATTCCCAACATTCTTCAGGTGGAAACCCAGCTAATTGATATAAACAAGTTTTAGAGACAACTTCAGTTGGCGATCTTATTTGGAAGGAAGTCTTTCACCTTATCCCTTCTCTTACATTTTGGCTGTTTGGTCAATGGGATTTGACAGTTCACCCTGTCAAAAATGCGGAATGAGCACATAAATTTGTGGGTAGATTCAGGAGTAGTGCCATGGCTTTTTTATCATGATTTACTGATCGGCCATTTTGAAGAGGTGATCCCCCAACTACAATTTATCTTTGTTTCTTGTAAAATCTACCGATCTCAATATTTTGAATGTAAGTATACCATTAGGACTTGAATCCCCTTTAATTTATACAACTCCTCAGTATGCAGACGGATGTTCATATAGGATCTCATCTCCAGGTGGCTTAGTTGGCCAGGTGCTGGGAAGTGAGCCTTGTGAATACTGCCTTGGACCATTTCTTAGATGGAAATGTATCATGAGAATCATCAATGTACGTTATGGGATCTGGAAAGGAGACGGTACTACTAAATGATTTTGTTGTTAGGGGTATAGGCCATTCTGGGTGAGTGTAATTGATAACAAAATGAATGTTTTAGTCAAACCAATGAGGCCATCATCAAGTCAATGTGGCCGTCATCAAAAGGTTTTTGCACAGAATTCAAAGTATCTACTTGCACTATTCACAAGAGCATGGGTACCTCTGCAGTTCTCTGCCTCTTGATCTCTAGGGAAAGCAGAGGGAACCAAGCATGCTTACAAGTCTTTGAATAATCAAGACCCCAATCTTATCAGGAGACGCTCACATCCTGGAGCCATTTGAATGCACTAAATCACCTCCACAGACGTTGTTGACGGCACTGATGTCTACAGAAGAACTGATCATCTCTTGCATGTGCAGAGGTGAATACTCGCAGCAAGTTACCAATTTTAAGGAAAAACGCCAGGTTTTCCATGTTGCTATCAAGACTTGCAGCTAGTGTTCATTAGTGTCTGCTCACTTGCAGGAAATCTGCCCCCCCTTCCTCCCCCCCAAAAAACAACAGCACTCGGTTTTCTGCTGGATTAGTTACCCACATCTTCATTAATGCTTAGAAACTACAGTGAGCATGCAGAAAGTTATGTCTACTTCTTTGTTGAAGTGTAAGTACATTTTTTCCAGTGGAGCCAATGAAAATTGGAAATGCTTTGAAGAGAAAAGAGAATTCCATATGTATGGGTGTACATAAATACATACATGCATACATACATACAGGGAAGGGAATGTTTTATTCGCAAAATAAATACCAAGAGTCTTTAAATATTAATGCTTTGAAAAGATATATGCATCTTTCTATTCTAAGTCTTACATACATGTTCACCAAAATGATGTGTTCAGTTGCTGGTCAACTCTTGGCTCATGACTGTTATGGGATATAGATAGATGGCATAGATGTGTAGATGATTTTGTAGATACGGGGGTTTGTATACATGTAGATATAGATAAAGATATAGATTATATAGGTATGCTGCCTTATGGAAAGCTTTCTGGTATATTTGAAAAAAGATATTGCACAATTCAGAGTTTCTTCAGGAAGAATTTACTTTTGCCATCAACAGGAACACACACACACACACACACACACACACACACACACACACACACAAAGCACTAAGCACTTTGATTCCTGCGGCACATGATCTAGTTTCCTCTTCTTTCACCCATTGCAATCTCACTTCATGTAGCAGTAACATCTCTCCCGATGCTACTGTCCTACAATTTTTTTTTTAAAAAAAATCCCTTGACTTAGTAAAACAGGGAGAAATGTAGTGCCGCAGTTACGATTTTTATGTTTTCTTCAGTAGAGTTGATGACAAAAGCATAATGCTCCACAGCGTGCATACAGTAGAAATGTGTCTCAGTTCTGGCCTACTTTGAGTTTTATTCTCAATTTTTCCTTAACTTTCCTCAAATCCAAGAAGAGGAGATATAATTGAGGGTAAAAAAGAGAAATCTATCTCACACTTACTAAGAGGGATGGGTAAGCATGGTTACCCAGCCACTTTTTTTTTGGGGGGGGGGGCAGTGTTTTCCTATTTTAAAAAAAATCTGAAAGATAACTGGGATGAATTCCTAAACCAGCTATTCCAGAATAATTCCTCTGAAGCCAGAGGGCATCTTCTAAGTCAAATGGTTGGTGAGCTGAACACCTAAAGCATTGCCTTGTTGCTTTGCTCGGTTGGACAGGGAAACAATATGAAAGTTATGAACGGATGATCTATTTGGGTAGCAAAGAAACTCTCTAAAGGAAAAAAACCAGGTAATATTTCCCAATTTTTTACTCTCTTGTCTGAAAGTTTAGCCACTAGACAGAATACCTATTCTTCTCCCTTAGGGAAAAAATAAAACTTAGGAAAGAAAAAATTATAAATGAGATTTGTAGGATATTAACAACAGGATTAGCTTGATTACAAAAACAGCCAGAATGGCTACCTGCAATGGCAATATTTTGAAGATTGCCACTAAACCAGCATGAGATCCAAAAATGCACCCCCCAATCCTTTGCAATGTCTCAAGCAGGGAATGCTAGGCCACAACCTTTGGTTTTGTGTGTGTGTGTGTGTGAGTGCGTGCGTGCAGCAACTTGAGAGGCAATGTGTTTTCAGCCAATCTTGTTGAATACCATCCAGCCTTGTCTATATAAAGCAATTTGGCCATTGATTGCTTGTCCTTGTTCTGATTCTTATTGTAATTTGTTGCTGTTCATGCAACTGAGTGTATGTTAAAACTTTCAATTGTACATTAAATGCACAATTTTGCGTGCTTTAAATTTCTGTACATACATGGATGCACAATACTATAAATACTGTGTGTTAATTGTCCTTGGGGAATTTTGCCTCCCAAATAGTATTTTCATGTATATGTCTCTTTAAAAAAATGTTTAAAATACTGCTGTATTTTGCGTGCCTCTCCACGTGTGTGTTTTGAAAAGAGGACTGGCTCTTACAAAGAATATCAAAGGAATCTAATTTTCGACATATATTTTTGATAACTTGAAATATACGAAATACTCTTTTAATGGAAAATTTGATCAGCCTAAAAAATACTAAATCTATTTGATGAATGGTATTCATAGCCATAAGTTATTATTTTTGCTTTTAATTAAGAGTATGATTTTGTGTATAAGAAGGTATCATGGATAAGATTTCCTTTTGAAATTTTAAAAACATAAAAGTATTTTTTTTAATTGCATTGATTTTACTCTCCAAAATTGTTCAGTTCCATACAATTTGCTTTTGGTCCATGCTTTTGGAATTGAGCTAGATGTTACCATATATACATGTGCTGCCTTTCCCCATTACAACTGATTCTAGCATTCTTTGAAAATCGACAGATTCCAAAACAATTTTTATGCCAAGCCAAGGAAAGATAGTAATTGGCGTGTTCTCAAAAGAAGCTGAGCATTCATTAATTGTTTTTGCTCTGTCAGTGAATGATGGGGGTCGACTCAGGAGAACTAAATGTTTCAGGAAGCAGATTATTATGTGGAATTTTATCGGCTACCCGCATTTATCCTACAAAATGCCCTTAAAGGCCTCTGTTGTTCCAGTTCTTTTTTATTATTATTATTAAATTTGTTTGCCGTCCACCTCACCATGCGGTGACTCCGAGTGGCCTATAATATCATTGTAGGAAGCTGCCCTAGAGTAGTTAAGGAATCTCCCAGTAACCTCTCATTCTCATAATCACATAGCCTTATTTCCCTGATACAGTAGTCCAAATGATTGAATCTGGGATTTGGGGCCTGCAAATCTTTAGCACTGGAAAGACTACAGGTAGTTTTCAACTTACAACCAATCAAGGGACCTACAACCGGTCTTTATCCTTATGACTGTTGCAGGATTCCCACAGTCAAGTGATCAAAATTTGAGTGCTTGGCAACTAGCATGTATTTACGATGGTCGCAGCATCCCAGGGTCATATGACCGCCATTTGCTGGCTTCCGACAAGCAGAGTAAATGGGGTATTCACTTAACAACTGCACGATTCGCTTAACAATTGCAGTGATTCGCTTAACAGCCAGGGCAAAAAAGTCTGTATGGTGGACTCATTTAACAACAGCCTTGCTTAGTGACACAAATTTTGGTCCCTATTGTTGTTGTAA